GAGCGTGGATCATCATCAGCAGGGTCTTCGAGTACTTCGCCAGCGGTGTGCTGGCCGTCTTGTGTTGGAGGCCCCTTTCTACCCGTCGCCGTACAGTAACAATAGTTGCGGGTGTGCCATCGGTTTTGGTGGCCACCTTCGTGAACAACATATCTTTCGCACCTGGCCGAGCCCTTCGTCTGCACGGGGGAGATCTTTAGCGGCGCGCGCAAAGTGTGGACCAATCGACATTTGCCCCATTGTGATCTACTTTCCCCCGCGCCCGACGTATCGTGCTCAGCGACCCCAATACTTTGCGACGGTGAAGGTCTTGGTGGATTGGGTCTCTCAGGTGTTGAGTGAATTGCCGCATCGGTGCACCCCGTTGATATATTGTGATCTTAATGATGGTATTGGTCAGACCCGTGGTCCCAATGGATGGGAATCGGTTGAGTCTTCTGCAGTCATGGATGCCCCCACTCAGGAACAGCTTCCACGAGGTGCAGGGCAGTCGTTTCGTGAACGTATGGAGTCTCATTATTGGGTGGCTGGGAACACGACTGGACAGATTCAAGACATTTTTTTGTGTTCGGAAGGAGTTTCTAGCAGAATCGATTATGTTTCGACTTTTTGTCAATGCAGTATTCTGTGGGGGTGTGCTTCCCTTTGCGAGGACTGGGGGCGAAACTCCAGGCGATCCGCGGACTTGGGCCTCGAGACCACCTACCTGTGATGCGCTCCATGACTTCAAGGCTGGTTTGCTTGGGGGTCCGCCGACCCAGAACATCCGCTGGAATCGCGATCTTATCATGGCTTCTTTGCGGAAAGGCGCGTGTCGTGCTGACTATCTGACGGCGGCCAAGGAGGAGATTGATAAACTACCTCGTGCATGTTTGAAGGATCAGGCGCCCCCAGACGAGTTGTTCGAGCGACCCGAGGATGCTGCGATTGTTGCTGGACAACGTGCATTCTCAGACTCCCGCCGTACATGTCTCAATTACAAGGAGAATGCTGAGCGTCGGCGCCACCTTCTGGCTGAGAGAGTCCGTCTTCGTGGCTCTAAAGTTGGAATGGATGAAGCTGCTGCTGCGGAGGTTGACAATGAGCTTCGCATTCTTTCTTCCGCTCTTGCTGCCGAACGACGGCGTGCTGCACGCTCTCTTCGCTCTCAGTTGGTCGAAGAAGCTTCTGAGCAGTGGCGTCGGAGGTTTACCTCAGAGGCACTTTCATTATCCCGGCGCGCGGCTCGTTGTAGAATGGGCCCGAAGAACAGAGACGGGCGTCTGGTGCAGGGGCGCCCCCCTTGTCGGGAGGAGTGGCCCCAGGTCTGGCAAGCTCCCGGGGGTGAAGGAGGAATGAAGGTGCAGGAGGCAGACTGGGTGGCTTGGAGGGCAGAGAGAGGGAGGGGGTTACGATTGGGACGTGACGGAGGAGGAGCTGGAGCTTGCTAAACTGGACTTGCAGCAGATTAGGTCTTATATCAAGCGAGCGCCTAAGCGTAGATCGGTTCCAGAAGGTAGTGCACCACTTGAACTGTGGCATCAGCTACTCTATCCTAATTAGAGGTCTCAACAGACGGGGGGGGGGGGGGATATGATACTAAGATGCCTAAAGTTCCTGGGTTCTGGTGGATCCTCTCGGTGGGCCTTGCAAAAGTCAGGCACTTCCAGCTGAGCACATTGCATTGGCATCGTAGTCGCGGGGCGGGGCCCCCCAAAAATGCACAGCACGGACCTAGAGGGAAACGAGTTGTACATGTTTTACCAGTCCTGGGGAAAGCTGAGTATAGTAAGATGTTGCAGATTGTTCCTTCTCAGCAAGATCACGGCTTCATCGCGCATAGGCGAAGAGAGGCCGCCATTTTTATTGCACAGGTGAGCTGCTGGCGTTTATGTCGGGTGCGACGCTCTTTTGCGATGAGTTCTAAAGACATGACGAACGCGTTTGGGAGTTCTGACTGGTCTGAATTCGAGGTCACGGTCGCCCGCGCCGCCTCGGAGGCGAACCGTAACTTGTGCTTGCAGCGCTACGAGAATAGCATGGTCGAATGAACTGCGGAAGAGGGGCCACTTCTTGTCAAACCGTTTCAAGGCGGAGTCATGGGGGGCCCCTTCACCGTGGCCGCGTTTCGGGGTACATTCTCTCGGGCATATTTACAGTGGGCCTACCAGTGGGGCCGAGAAGACCCGATGTCTCGTTTTTGGGTCTCGAGGTGGCTCGATTTCCAGAGTGACTTGAGCTTGTTGAAGTATGCCGATGATGTAAACAAAACCGTCGTGGCCTCGGATCACATGACCTTGGGGGACCTTCTTGGGAAGGTTAAGGAGATGGACACGGTTCTCGATTCCGTCATGCAGCCTTTCGGGCGCGTCCAGAACCTCGGGAAGCAGGAGTTTTTGACGCATTTCGCCTCCCAGGGGAATCGAGCTCGTCAAGCTATTCGTCGAGGTGTCGGGGCCCAGGGCAAAATCAAGGACAGCGCGCGGTACCTGGGGCCCCACATTCGAGTTCGAGATTCGAG